CAGTTTTGAGTGTGGAGAAGATATGTATCGACCACGCAATCGTGCTATCGCATCTGTGATCGATCTATATCTGCTCCACGAGAGAATGCATGATCTCACTATTGAAAACTATGCTTCGGCCTTTACTACTTTTATTTCTCGGGTCTTTTTACGACTGACTAATTACAGCAACTCAGAATGTGAAAGTGAAGCCACAAAAAGAATACGGATTCGAGTCAGCTATTGATAATTCTACAAATCCGTTTGTTCCGAAGCTGAAAACCAAGCATAATGCCTTACCGAGGAAGGAAACCTCAGGAATGACTATTATCGATGAAAGTTCGGCTAATACTGCAGGACAGGGGTAAGAGCTTATTTTTTACCTGTAGACTGTTGAGATGGCTCAGTTTTTACATTTGCTCTTTCAGTGATCTTTCTTCGGATTACGAGGCTGACGTTGCACATCCGTACCAGCAAGAAATTCAAAATTTTGTTGTGCCCAGCAATCAAATGGAATCGCAGGATCCTATAGTAAGTCTGATAACGAACCAATTTGACTTCTGTCAAAATAATGGATAATTATACAAATTAATATATTCACAATATTGAGAGAAGCATGTTCTAGTTCCTTTTGAGGGTGACATACGTCTTCGTTCTCGCGATTTTGGCGGAATTGGGTTATGATTGAAATAAGTTATAACTTTTCGTCTGTTTTCCAAACCACCCTTTTCTAATCATGTGTAGTGAAATATGTTCATTCGAATATTTTTTCGGACGCTATCGCAATATACAGGAGCATCCTCTAGGACTAAGCCCAGAAGGGGCAGGGATTCTCGGGAAATGAAAATGGCTCACGCACCCTGGAGTCTCTCCTCCCCGCCTAAGGCTTGGTCCCGTTTTCAACAAAAGGACATGTTTTACGCGATTTCAAATGCACTGCCACCACAATGCCCCGTATCTTGCGATAGCGCCTTTTTCGTCATCCTTTCTGAAAAGCACAGAGAGGATATAATTACTAGCTGGCTTTGGTCGAAGGGTATGTGCGGAACGGAAGTCAAACTATTTACCCGATTGTCTCCTTCATTAAATATTTTTGATTACAATGCTTTAATTATTTACCTTTTTTCTTACTCGTATGATATAAACGATTCTACCAGGACTGAATATCCCAGAACCTCTGCGTCAATTGATCCACAACAAAGGAAATCTGAACGGTTGAGGGATGTGAATAACATCCAAGCGTCCTGTGGACCTTGGACGGTACTCACACTTATGTCTAGTGGACAGCACCTTCACCGCCTAATTTCAGCATCACGATTTCCGCAGTTACCTTGGGTTAACGTGCCTCATGCAAATTTCTACAAGGACTGAAGACTACGTTATCGATCCGTTCCCATTATGGAACGATATGCACATCCTCAATGATCCCTTTACTAATCCTAGAATTTTAAAGGTGATCACATCACGTTACTAAATTGTATATTGCAGTAGTTGTGCAAACCTAGTATTTATTACAGGTTTTTCATGGAAGTGAGCACGATATTGAGTGGCTTCAGAGGGATTTCGGGATCTATGTAGTGAATATGTTCGACACTGGAAGAGCAATGCGCCGACTCGAAATGCAAAAATTCAACTTACGTTATCTAGTGCACCATTACTGCGATATAACATTGAATAAGAAGTATCAGCTGGCTGACTGGAGGGAACGGTAAGTATCATGTAAATGAGTAAATGGGATAGGAAGGTTCCTTGCGACGATTGATGTATCGAGGGTGCCTTCCGGCGCATAATTATTGAACTGGCTAAATGCGCCAACAACCCTTACCAATGTATATTGATTATAAGTACGGCATATGTTAGCTTACAGTAAGTCATGCGGTTTCCTTCCTACTTGCAATATTCGAGTCTCAGTCGCATTTGTTCTTTAAATGAACGGGGCGCAGTTTGGGTCCTCCTAAACAAATGTAAGATGCATGGCGCACTTCAAAAAGGTTGAACAAAAAGACCGTTTTATCACCCCTTACGCTACTTACCCTATCCTGCTGTCCCTTCTTGTCCTACTTCGTGCCTGTCCGACATCATGCCATTTCAGACCGTTGGATGCTGATATGATTAATTACGCTCGGAGTGATACACATTACCTTCTGTACTGCTATGATCGCCTCAGAGAAGAGCTGTTGGAGAAGGGAGACGCTATGCAGAATCTGTTACGAGTTGTATACTCTGAAAGCGCTTTTATTTGTTCCAGGGTAGGTTGTGCCTTTTTATTTAGTTTTCTCAGTTGCTTTTTTTACGTGCCATTAATCAGGTGTACCACAAGCCGAGTTTCGACAGAGATGGCTTCCGTGGATTGGAACGTCGCCGTCTCAATAATCGTCAAGAAGCAGCGATGCGAGTTCTGTGGCATTGGCGTGATCGTGTGGCTCGCGAAGAGGATGAGAGTGTGCAGTACGTGCTCCCCAATCATATGCTGCTAACTATCGCTGAGGTGAGATTCGTTCTGAACTTTCAGCAGACGTTTTGTGGAAGAGGATAATTGTCCGCTATCTCAATCATTCCCTTCGTTTCAGAGTTTACCTCGAGAGCTTCAAGGGATTCTACATTGTTGTAACCCGGTCCCTCCACTGGTTAGAGAATGCGTCCATGAATTGCACAAGTATGTTAGCTGATAGTAAATT